CTCCTGTAAGCCACACTACTCCCGTCCAGCCCCAGCCCCCACGTCACCGCGCCAGCAGGCTAGGTGCGCGGCCGTGGGTGGCGCCGTCCCGGCAGCGAACTCAGCATTTCGTCCTGGATAAGGAGGACACTTGGCAAATCACTTTCCTTTCTTCACTGGGATCGGGACTGATCGTCGTAGGATGAGAAGCCAAGCACTTTGTACACAAAGCATAGTGGTCAAAAGCAGGGGTTGTGAGATGGAGGGATTTCACAGATTAATCAAATTAATAAAATAAAACTGGGTCTTAACACAGGGCCAACAACTTTTTTTAAAAATATTTTATTTATTTATTTGACAGATAAAGAGAAAGAGCACAAGCAGGGGGAGCTGCAGAGGGAGAGGGAGAGCAGGGAGCCTGACCACGACGCAGGGCTCGATCTCAGGGCCGCAGACGCTTAACCGACTGAGCCACCCAGGCGCCCCAGGGCCCATAACTTTTGATTTCACCATTTAGAAGAATACTTTATAGTACTACTACTAATAATAATACTACTGGAAAAATGATCTGACCACTGTAAAGACAGCTTATTGTGCACCAGGCACTGTTCTCAGTCTTTACACGAATCGTCTGATCCGATCCTCCTACGAACCCCTATTCCACAGGCACTGTGATCCCCATTTTGTAGACAAGGAAACCAAGAAATGTGAAGTACACTGTTCCTGGGTCTAGGCTGATAACCATTACGTTGGAAGCTTATCCTTGATTCACAAAAGACATCTCTGAAAACAGTCAAGCACACAAGGGAGGTCCGAACCTCAGAACATGGGCCTAGAGAAGTAAGTTCCATCAGTGAGGCCAGTGGCCCTGGGTTTAACACCCTCGGTGCCTCAGTGGGTTCCCCTGTACCGCAAGTACTGCCGGCCTCCAGGCTGCTGGGAGGAGGGGACCTCACACACACAGCCCTGCAAACGGCGGGCTGGAGCTCACACACACAGCCCTGCACACGGCGGGCTGCTGGGAGGAGGGGGGCTCACACACACACAGCCCTGCACACGGCGGGCTGCTGGGAGGAGGGGACCTCACACACACACAGCCCTGCACACGGTGGCCAGCACAGAGAAGGGATTTCTGTGGCCTGCCGGCCGGGGGGCCTGCCATGCATGCTCCTCCTGGCACAGCCCTGCGGCGCCCCCCCTCCACCACCACCACCACCACCACCACCACCACCACCACCACCACCACC